GCGATGGCTCCCTTTCAAAATTTTTCTTTGCATGTCTTTCGCTTTCAAACTTGAAATTCTTAAGATTTCGGTTTGGTTGTAATAATTTCTCATATTCAATCTCACAAAGTTTAAATATAAATTTACCTAATCTTGAAATTTTGGAAATTGAAGATACGGCACCATTTCAACTAATAAATCGAATAATTCAAGGAACACAAGGAAAGCTTGAAAGAATATATGTAAATGGTTTACTATCTCATAACTTATCTAATGACCCGAGAACGATCAATCAAAGCATTCTTAATTCATGTCCAAATCTCAAGGTTCTCACTACTCTTGTCACTCAAGATACATTTGACACCATTTTAGCAATATTATCTTCTTGTTTTAAACTAGAATGTATCGCATTACATTCAAATACTACTAAATTAGATTCAAATATTATTTTAAATCATTTAGCCCTACACCCTTTAAGACGTTTATATAATTTAAAATTCGATGGTTTGAGTTGGACATTTTCATTAAGTACTATGAAATTATTTTTAGAAGGTTTAGAAAAGGTAGAATTAAAAAGGAGGCTCAATATTACAATTAATTCAAATGACATTGATTTAAATAAGGATTCGTTTTTGAATTTATTTGAGATATATTACTTAAAAGGGTTGCTTGGTTCATATTTTATTGAGAGTGAAGATGAATTTGATAATTGGCAATTGTCTAATATTTAGTGTTTACTTGGATATTTTAAGTAGAATACACGTAATTCCAACTTATTATTCTTAATGGCGATTGAGGTTTAAAATTTCTTAAGTCAGATTTGTTAACTACATAACAGAAACGACTAAAATAATCAGTTGGAACACTTTTTTTGATCACATGTAATTCTACAGATAATTTTTGAAAGCTCGCATTCTGCTATACAAAAGGTTCTATATTAGATATTGGGTTTTCTCTTGGCTTATAATTTCAAATTCATGTTATTTGTACATTTATAATATTATCCAAATTTTTGGTAGCTAAATGCATATAATTTTATAATTCAAAGTTAATTTTTTATTTTATTTTAAAAATTATGTAAATCAAAATACTGTAAAGTATCCATATTTCTCCATATTATACTTCTTGGCGAAGAAATCACCATATGTGCAATTCTAGTTTTTATATAATAATTGTTTCCAATATTCTATAAAAATTAGGTGTAATGTGTAAATTCACTGTAATGAATTGGATATTCGATATTTGCATTATTCACAAGAAAAATTATAAAATTTGCGGGTCTTAATTCTTGGAATTTATTATATCATATTAGAAAGAAATATAAATCATTATAACGAAGCTAAATAAGATTTATTTATATGATAAAAAAAAAATAAAAATCATAATAAACAAATATATATATACAGTAAAATCTCTATAAGTGCACACACTCTCTAAATGCACGTTCAAGTCTGGTCCAAATATATACATGCCCTCTATAAATGCACTATCTCTTATTGTGCATGTTGTTAAAGCTTGGTCCCAGGAGCGTCTATTATTCTCAGTTTCATTTATAATAGTCCTAGAAAGGTTAAACTCCATGGCCCAGGCTACGCTGCAGTCCGAAAAAATAAAATTCTATGCTTCCACTACTTTCTTGCTCTATAGTAAAGCTTATATTGTTTGCCTACTCTTTCCATTATACAATTAGATCTTTGCTTTGCTTGATCATCGCTAAATTGCTATCAATTAAACATTCAGTCGAGCGCGCATTCAATGAGATTACTATGGTTCTCAACATTAAAATAGATTTTTACATTCGGTGGACCGACATGAGTGTTTATCTGGATCAGAATGCATGCCCCAGATACTTTCATTTCCTACAATTAATTCATAACATTAACAACAATAGTGACGATCAGTGTTGGAAATCTTATATTATCATGTTCTCATGAAAACGTACCTTTAGATTTGAGAACATTTGATATTGTGAAATGAACTCTATGAAAAAATTTTGAGAACATAGTACTCGAAAAATATGTTCTCTATACAAGTATATAATATAAATATAATAATAGCATAATGTCTGATGGAAATAAAATTAGAATCAAGAGAAATTCCGAAATTATCCGAAAAGAAAATGAATGAACATAAAAGGGG